CCTATCTCATTTAAGACAACTAGAAAATATATAAGAAACTAGAAATAGCGAAATTTGTATGTATAGATCACAAGCAAAATAAAAAAGGTAATGTGAAGTTAAAAATTGTCACCTCCGATACAATCAGAAAAAGAAAGTCCATTACTTAAATGGTCTAACTAGTTGAAAAGTTACTTAACTATGTCTATAGCATTCAGAAGATCGCTCAACTAAATTTCTCAAACTTTTGATTGTTAAATATCTATCTTACCCTCTAAATTATCAACTATTATCTTCTTCTTTTTTCCCTCTTTTTTAATCTATATTATGGACTTACGTATAGCACCCCTTTTCCATTCATAGAGAGATCCACTCGTCAAAATCAATAAAAAGGTCATCATGGACCAAGATCCAAACAGATCAATCTTGTTGGGAGGTACTACCCAAGGAAAGGAAAATGTTACTTCCGGATCAGGAATAATAAATAAAATGGAAACAAGATAAAATCTAGCTACTCAACTAGTATAGAATGGTGCGTTCCAGTGCCAGTGATAGATTGGTTTAGAAAGATTGTATCGGCATCAGATCCTAACGTGAGATATTTTCGTAATGAAAATAGAGTGGAAACATGAGTTGATCCATAATGAGTATTAGATTGAAGTTCTCTTAAAGAAGACCTCCAACTTCTATCCCGAAATACAAAGCGCATCCTCTTCTCTTGTGTCGAAGTGTAGTGTAGTGTGGTGAAGTTTTGTCTCACAAAAAGAGTGGGAAATTAGGAGAAAAAAACGAAGAATTTCGAATCTAAAAATAAAAAGAGATTTTTTTTCCCAACGACAAAGGAACTTACAGGCGGGGCATTTTCGGGGACTAGTCCGCTTCCCATTATTCAATAGGGCAATTCCTTGCACATAATTAAGGGAGCCTCATCAGTGTCAGGACAATGCCAAAAATCAAATAGATAGGTCGTTTAGTATAGTTTTAAGCAAATATCAAAAAAAGAGTTTGTTAATTATATACCATATTTTGATGGTTGAGAGACAAGGGGGTGAGCCGCTCCAAGCGGAAAGCGATAGTGAATCCCGAATATGCTTGCACTCATCCAAACCGGCCTCAAAAAGCGATCAGAAAGCGAAGCCCTTTCTTCCAATCCAAGCCGGCGAAGCTGCCCCTATATTTAACCACCATTCACCCTGATCGCATATTGGCACGTTCATGATGCATCATAATCAAAAGGCCGTAAGAAGAATCGGTCAGCCTTTGCATCACGACGTCGAATCATCTTTCGATGAAACGACGGTATAATGCGAGGAAGCCCTATCCGTGTCAATGATACAACGGGTGATAACTCTTTGACTCCAGGGATAGCCCCATCTCGGCTGTGAATCTAATCAACTCCATCTGACCGCCAGCCACACACACTCAAAGGAGGACCACAAGCTCGGGGCTCGACGAAACGGAAAATTTCAGCATGTTGAAACTTCTTGGGGTTAGCAGTGAAAGAAAGAGCCCGACATTCATCTTTTCATGAATATTCATAGTTGAGTCTACTAAAAGAGGGACCATCCTCGTCGTGGTGATTAGAGGACACCTCTGATCATTGCTTAGCCCCGCTCTTTGGTTTAGGATGGATCCGGACTACCTGATTTCTGGATACCGCTCATCCATGATATGTCTGCCGACTTCACAAAGCTCTTTATGACAAGCTCCCAGAGTTTTTTTTCACTTGTTTCAGCTTCCGTGGCAGTGCCTGTGATACCTTTTTATTCATTCGTCACACATATGGGGATAGTATCTACCTTATTTTATATGTCGATGATCTTTTTCTCACAGGTAGTGATCAACAGAGAATACTTGCTCTTCTTTCTTGGTATGGAAGTGTATCGGCAGGGGCGAACTCTTATCCTTCGTCAGCAGAAATATGTTGTTCATGTTCGGTGACCTTCGCTGATGTTTTTGATCTACCTCCGAAACCTAATCCATCTTTTTAAATGGCTAATGTCTTCCCTCGATTCATTACTAAGCCAAGGTCCCAGGTCTCTGAGTCAACCAACGCTTTTTCGAAGAACCTGCAGAAATGGAGAGTTTATGCCTTGAATGAATCAATAACAACAGATTAGTGGAACGAGGGATCAAGCGACGGATAGGGAGGGAATGGTGTATCAATCATTGGTTGACCTTTCCTTGAACCAATCACGGAGCTCTCAACTGAGCTGTTTAGGTTTTGGCATTCCAATTTCTAGTTGGGGGTTTCGATTCGAAAAAATGTAGTGTGGGTTCATCTCTATCGACCAGTTCAGGTTCAAGGGAGGGTGATCGAGGGGACACAGACTTTCAATCTCTTCTCTATGGCATGAGCTCTTGTATCAAGAGTGTGTTGGGGAGGCCAGGGACCCGACGAAGGTCTATGCTACAGGAAGAAAAAAAGTCCAGCGTAATGAACTCGTTTATTCCACTCGTTCCCTAACTCTAAGAGTAACTCCTCTTTTTAGAATTGAAGGACAAATAAATTTTATTTATAAAATAAAGAAATAGTTTTCTAGAATATATAATATTAGAATAATAAAATAATTGAGCATAATTTTTAAAAATTATAATGTATGTTATAAAATATACCTCTATTTTAATAATTAATTTTTATATTACGTGCATGAAATATATATTTTAAAAACTTTTATTTTCCTTCATTCTCAATTGTGCAAATAATTTTTTGAGTTTTAGTTGTTAATGTCAAAATTATTGTTACAAACAAATTGTTCTAGTTAAACTTTTTAATTTTAAAATTTTACTTTATAAATAAAATTTATTTGTCTATAGGTAAGTCCATAATATAAATTAAAAAGAGAAAAATTATAATATTAAAAAGTAAAAAAAACTTACGTAATAATTTAGAGGGTAAAATAGGGCAATCAAAAGTTTGAGAAATCTAGTTGAGTGACCTTCTAAGTACTATATGAAATGATATTTCTGTTACAAAGAAAGATGATTTTAGTAGGTAATTTCGCATAGTAGAATCAAAACTTGAGTTATGAACTCCAGAAAAAAATATCATACTTCGTTATTTAGAAAGAATTTAACTTTAAACTTTGTACATTATTTAATGAGATGATCTAAAGTTGTGAATTTTCAAATTTAAAGTGTTGCTTAGGGTTTCCTAATGGGAATATTTGTATATGTGGAAGAAAAGGAAAAGAGAACTCAAAGGATGGAGAATTAGATCATGCAGTAAATTGTAGAACCAAATTCATTTAGAAGTAGTGTTTATGTAAAGAAAGTTTTTTCTTTTTTCTTTTCAAGGTATGCCATTTGACTGTAAAGAAAGCAGCCTGATCTTGCTCTTGTTGCCATTCTTTTGATTTGGAATATAAAGTGGATTAATGTTGACAACTATTCTTGTGTATTTGTTTCTAGCTATGTGGGTTTTCAGATAATTATTACAAATGGAATTTGTGAATATATATACTTGATGACACTTATATATAGGTGTATAAAGAGTATCCCGGTGCACAATGCATCCTACGTTCATGCAGGGTGGGAGAAGGGTTGTATTCCAAGGATACGATGTAAACTAGGGGTGTGCATTCGATTTATCGATTCGATTTTGACCCTTATCGATAATTACTTATCGATTATCGATTTGTACATATGCTTATCGTTATCGTTTCAATAAGGTTTCGATTTTTTCGATTTCGATTTATCGATTTTTGGGGCTTATCGATTCGGTTATCGATTACACCAATAAGAAAATTTGCGGGATTCCACGGAAAGTATATCGCTATAAACACGCCTAACTAATATGGACCAAAAGAAGCTAAAATAAGACGAACACCGTTTATAACATAAAAATTGTTTCAACAAGCACATGCAACGAAACTAAAGTAAGGGATCAAATGTACGCCACCAACACTCCAACGGTATAAAAAAAAATACATCATCACGGCTAATTCTATTTTCCATTAATTTGAACTTCATTCCCTTGAGCTTTAAATATGATCATTCCTTAAATGTGGTAGATGAAATAATAGGGTTAGGGACTTAGGATAAAGGAAAGGGTATTATAGAATAAAGGTAAAAAAAAAAAAAAAATTTTTTTTTTTTTTT